CGTCCGCATCGTCACCCGTCCAAGAAATGCTAATGTCGTTGAAGATAAAGTTGGGCATCGTATGTTTACCTTGCACGTTGCCCTTCAGAAGGAATGAAGCCGCGGAGACCTTCCTGGGACCTGACAAATGATTCAGGCCGTAAGCTTCGTCGACCACAACCTTCGCCTTGTTCTTCAACTCGTTGCGCAGCTGCGTCGCCGCAGTCCAGACCTGTGGGATTGATTTAGCTAACAGGAGGTGAACCTGAGAACGACGCACCACATCGAATACTTTGTTTCTCAGGGTATCCTTGCCATCGCCGTTCAGCTTCTTGAACCCAAGGGCGAAGTGCGTGAGAGGCTTCCCGTCGGCGCCGCATAGTTCTCGAACGTCGTTGACCGCCCTCTTGATGAGCACATACTTCTCTGGTAAAAGATCGATGTTCGTCATCTTCTCCCACGTCCAAGCGTGCTCGAGGGAGATCCTGAGGCGGAGGTATGAGTGAGCTTTGGTAACGACAGACTTGACCTCGTCGGGCAGGTCTCTCATCTGCGCTCGACCTCGAGTGCGAGCTGCCCCGGTGGCCTTAGGTTTGGGATGGTTCGCCTTGCCCTTCTGCCCCTTGACAAGCTGGGACTCGTGTAGTTAGCGCACTGCGTGCATAGAGGATGATACATACCACGACATCATGCTCACTCTCATCTTCATCATCCCCTCCCGAATCATCGCTACCCTCACCATACGCATCGTCCGAGACAGACGTAGCCAGCCAGGCCGGTATTTTCTCTTTCTTTTCGACCGCCTTCCCTTTCGCATTCCTGTCAGCAGCGCTCTGGGCAATGTGCGGTGTCCAGGTGTCCATGTTTGCATGCCCAGGAATGAGTCATATATATCATACTAATGAGTCTGTACTCACCTTTCTCGGCGGCGATGCTATCTCAATGACCGCCACGCGACGAGTCCCAGCTTTTTCTGCTCGATTGCGAGTGGACACGCCGGATCTCGTGCCGTCCTCGTCGTCGCCACGAACGTTCTTGCCTCGCGTGCCCTTGTCGCTATTGGTCTTCTTCTTCGAAGGGGTCTTGGCAGCCTGCGCGGAACGTAGACTCGCAGCGAGCAACTGTTCGTCTTCATCGGACAGGGGCGCATCCTCCCGCTCATCGTGTGATCCCTCCATATCAACGTCCTCGTCTTGTGGGGCAGCATGCCTGGCCCTACCTTTACCCTTGACGTCTCGTGTGTGATCTTACATTTATTAGTAGCACATATAGAAATATCGAGTGACTACACACCAGTGTGCGAGCGAGCTTTCGGAGGGGTTGGCTCAAGCTCGTCCTCTTCTGGGGACTCTCCCTCCTCATCCTCTGCTGCCGCTGCATCGTCCGTCACCTCTCGCTCTGCGCCGCTCTGTTCTTCATCGTCCTCTGACCCCACAACCTTCCTGGACCTCTTGCGTTTAGGCCTCTCCTCCTGTGCATCTTCGTCATCTTCCTGCTCTTCAGCCGTCATCGCAGCCGTATCGCGCTGTATCTCTAGCATTGACAAGGGTGTAGCGTCTTTCAGCACTTCGAACCACTTGTAATCAAATCACTTACTTGAGCGACGCTGCACTTCCTTCTGCTTGTCGGCTTGACGCTTTCTGTATTCCAGCTGCTTCAGAAGTTCCGCGTCCTTCTTGCTGAAGCCTCGCTCGTCAACGTGTTCTGCTTCATCGTCGGTCCCTCGATCACGCTTCTTGCCCCGCTTGGTTTTGGACTTCGAGGCTGACGTGTTACTGGGAACTCGAGCGGTCTTGGGCGCCGCGGCCGTCTTCTTGGCGGTGGTGTCGTCTGCGCCCCGCGGGCGAGTGTTTGATCGAGTGTTCATGTTCGCGAGCCAGACACAAGCAACAAGCAGTCAGCAAGAGAAAGATGAAAGGTGAGCTGAGATACCCGCATCAGATAAGTCGGACTTGAGGGACGCCGTGAGACCACACCCGACGGTGTCCGTGCTTCTGGAAGTCGTCAGTCAGCGGCCATAGTAGCGCGGTTCAACTTGTAATTTGCCTGGGAACGGAGTACATCACCCGAGCGCTCCAAGCCGACAGCATTCTTGTACAACGTACGATGCTTGATCAAAATATAAATATGCTAGTACTAGTAGCAGTCTATGGCTAAGCAAAATGAGGATGGTCAGTCCAGCCATTACGACTATCTGCTGTCCATTTGGACAGCTCCCTATCTGTATGGAGAACAATAGAAGCACGCCGTCCAGTATAATGTAAATTAAAGTGAGTGAGTTCACAAGAAGGAAAAATGACAAAATCTGCGTGACGCAGAGGAATTACAAGACCGGCTTCGACGAGGCACAATTCTCCGCCGATGAAATCTCCAATCGGTAGTACCAGACATACTCGGTCGTCCTTGGCGTCCCTGTGCGCTCGAGTAACGACATTGAGGTTGATCACCAAACCTACAAAAGGATGAACCGGCGACGTGTTGTTGTCTGGCAAAAAGGAAGCGGTTGCTTCCAGGTGTTCATACTCAGTTGGTAGCATGTCCCGGAGCTACATGGAGTTGCGTCAGTGAGTTATATTAATTGAGAAAGCAAGAGACGACGTTACCTTGTCGTCTATGCAATGGAAAATATCTTCGAGTATCGTCTTGATCGCCTGGTAGATTGATTGATGTTCTTCCACGTCCTTGGACGTATACGGAATGAACTGCTCATGGTTCGTCCTTGAGCAACCCTTCCGACTCATCAAGGACGGCGGTATGTCAGACGGAGCCGAATGACCCTGTAGAAGACGCTTCAGGAGCATCCTAGACAAAAGAAATGCAATGAATACTAACCTGAGTACAATGGCGATTATACCAAGAAAAATGGATGACCTCGAAGGTACGGCTTACGTCCATTGATCCAGCTTCCACCGTCTCAAACGGGTTGTTCTGAAAGCAGGCAGTCAGACGGTCCATCATATCCCTGCGCATGGGTTCAGGTATTGAGGTACATATGCCAGCGATGAGAGAGTTCCCCTGGCCGCGAATCGTCAGAGTATCCCTAGATATAATATTGAGCCTCATTTTTTCAGTGACGCGTTCGACAGAACACCAGTACTCACCGTATGAGATTCACTGGTACCTGGACGTAAGAGTCTGCGCTCATTCTCTTGCCTGAGTCGTACATCGCTTCCAGCTGTACCAAAGACAGAACAATTAGCGACGACCCAACGCTTGGCTAAGAATGTCAGCATACCTTAGTCCGAAGATCTGTGATGCTGGTAGGTACAGTCGCCTTACTCGCCCTCGATCGCTCGTGCTCCGTCCAAGCTATGTTACTCTCGCGATCGCGAGGTGCAGGATAGCGCTTATTGTCCGGATGTTGTGGATCGTACAATGTCGCGATGACCTGGTGATCCGGCGAGGCAACGTCCTTAAGTTGAGGTGGAGCAGTAGAATGAGGCAAGTTAGGTAGTGGCAGGGGAAGCAGTGGGAGTGACAACAGAGGTGTGAGAGGCGATGATAGAGGTGATACTATAAGTGATTGATTGACCGGCACTGAGCCATAGCCACGATCGGTTCGTTGTCTGGGGCCGTTAAGAGCGTGTGTTCTCCGTAGCATGTAGCCCACATGTCGGGACAACGCGGATCGAGCTTGAATGAGCTATGCAGGTAAGTCAATACGACGGTATCATGATCAGTGCAGACGTCAACCTCGGAAGACTCACTTGTACACAAATGAATCAAAAAACTGGTCCGATATCTCGAGGTTCGCGCAAAGCGCGTTATGAGCTGCCGTGAGCATGCCAGACACCGGGAAGAGGTGACGCAGAGGGATCGGGCGGTGTTTTTGTAGGAGAGATACTGCTGGAATGATTGTGTTTTTCACCGCTCGACCCGCAGCGGAGTCTGCTTGTGATGAGCAAGGTGTCAAAATATCAGAGGGGGCTGCCTAGCCACTTACCGTCTGGCCATCTCAAGATGTTCCCTATATATTTGGCAGTATGACCGTCCATCGTCCCTATGGTCGTTCTGAGGTTCCTCATAACAACCAGAACCAGGACGTACACCGTGCCTGCAAAGACAAATCATTGGCAACGATTGACTACGCGTGATTGTGCTGCACTTACCACCACCGGCTAGCCGAGCAAATTTACAGCCCATCGTATTCCAATTCTCGAATGTTCTTTGTGAGACGGTTCTCCTGGTGTTCGCTTGCAGCTGTGACGTCCAGATGGCTTTGAGAGTCGGTTGGGGCTTACAGCGACGAAGGCTAGGAGAAATCAAGTCAGTTTGGATCGCTGAACATGCATCCTGACGTCCGTACATACCTACTAATCTTGCACGCCAATTGCATCAGTCTCACCATCACTGCGAAGTCCGAGGCTTCGTTATGGTGGATTGCGGCGGCGCATCGTTCAGTGAACATGCTCAGCGATCCGTCCACCTGCGGAGTACTAGGACTGAATAGCGAATCTGCTCTACGTAGCACGTTATCGCAGCAACCCAACATCGCCTCATCTGTGAGACCGGTGGTGAGATCAGAGAAGAAACGTGTTACTGTGTTCTTTGACGAGTGTGATGGTGCAGGTAAGGGATCCGTATCCCACAGCAGCTCCGCAGGAGCAGGCGCCGCATTTGAGAAGTTGATGCCCCCGCGTGGACAGGGCGGTAGTCGATTTTCGGGCTGTCCCATATTGGCAGTCTGCCTAGCTGGGGCACGTTCTTTGCGGGCGTACGGTGTCTTGCCAGTTCGATTGCGTGACCGCGTCGAGCGGACAGGACCCACCGTATCAGAGTCAATGACACCCTGAGTACCTTTGCAAATCCAATAAGATGTCAGCCCAATTGTGCGTACTATTGCAGGACTCACCGGTTGTTTTCCCTTGAAATTTATCCTGTGGTTGGACTTGGGACCTTGTCTTGCGGGCGTAGACGGTTGATGTGTCAGGCATCGTTGTCTCACCGATGCCTTCCGATGCCAATACCGTCAGATTTGTCATACAGTAGGTCACTAAATACTACTTACTGGCGACATTGTCACTACGTACTTCTTGAACACCGTTATGCTCAGATTGAATCATGCACTGTGCAGCCGGTGCTGTGCCACCTGAGCAGACAAGACAGTTAGAAGCGACGTCATACGATGTATGACTTCTTACCGTTGCTGCTAGTCGAGCACATGCCATTCAAGTTGTCATTGACCTGCCAAGTGCGGGCAAGGTCTGCAGGACCTGTAAGATCAACACCCTCGAGCCTTGCCCACAAGGTCCTCAACACGTGGCTGAGATCAGGCGTACGCCTCAGTAACTCTACCAAACAGACACGTTCCTCTTCTGTGAAGAACATCGCTGTTGACGGTGTTCGAGGTGACGAGCACAGCCAGAGACAAGCACTGTCTCTACGCGGTGACGGACTTGAATATTGCGGCTGTGAAATTCCGATAAAAGTCCCTCTCTCGACGAGTAGACCGTCTGCAGTGGATTTTTGAGCAGCGAAGTCACCAGATCACTCAGTCAGCGAGAGATATAACCAGGTGTTTTTTTAACACCAAATGGTAATCTGTTTATCTCAACGTACGAAGGGGCTCTGCCATTCGGAATACAAACCTTGTCTGCCGTAGTTATTACCCGGTACCACACTGCCACTACAAGTCCTGTAGTCCTACCGACTCCTACCGCCTCATACATGGTGACCGCCAACGCGCCTTACTCATCCACCGCCCACTCTCCTCACTGCCCGGTGCGCCGCCCCCGGCGCGTACCGAACTGAAAACACCGAACGAACGCCCAAGTCTCGTGAATCGATCGAGACGAGGGCGTAGTGACGTTAACTGGGCGGATGCGGTGCGTGTCGAGCCCTGCAATTGGCTCTGGCGACCTGCAAACAAAGTGTCAGCTCCTCAGCATGCACGAAGAAATCAGTTAGCATACCGTCGGGCGATGAACGTCGACCCCGTCTCGGCCTCGCACAGCGTTGTCGCAGGGACACCGAGGGCCACTGGGTCTTGTCGGCATGGCGATCACCTGGCCCGTGGCAGTCCTGTCGTGAAGGCGTGTGCGTGTCGCGAATATGAGTACGATACGCAGCCATGTACGGACGACAAGAGACATACCGGTTTCACGGTATGTTGGTCGGCGGCCACGCAATGCCTGGAGATCGCCCGACGACGGCGTGTACGGACAGCCCCGAGTATGTATGGGCAGCGCGGGCACGTTGTGCTCTCCACGCTCGACCTGCACGTGCTGAGTTTTGTGTGTCATGATGCAGGTGATGTGCCGCGCCGTCGGGATGTGTCCGGATGTGAGCGACGTGCTCTGGACGTGCACAACGCGCTCCGGTCGTTGAATGGATGCGTATATTCGTGCGCTGTCCAGCCATCTCCGTCGAGTCAATCACACGGATGTGATCCACCACGTTCGTGCATGCCATCTTCTGCGTGCGGACAGACATGGATGGCAGTGTCCAGACGCCAATGGCGTGTGCTACCTCCCTCGCCGCCCTTGGCTGCCTGGTCAACCTCCGAGACAACTGTCTGCTGCTGTTGCTCAAGGTGCCCATGTCAACTCGTGGCACCGCTGTCCAGCACGTCTGACTCACCTGTAAGTCTCACGCGCTTTTGTGCGTCGTCGGTGCCTTGCAGCATCTGCAAACGTCGTTCGAGCTCGAACTGCTCTGACGGGAGCAGGAGTTTCATTAGCACCGAAGGACCCGCTCACCAGGCTAGAGACGGCCTTGGCTGCCGGACGACCCGTTCCCATCGTACCAGTCCCCCGTCGTCTCGTTGACCTTGCGCTCGCCTGGACACGCCGTGATCGTCTTGGCTGAATACTAGGTCAGTGGCGCCGTGAGTGTCGTTGGGTACGTCGTCGAGTATGTTGTTCAGGGTGCAGGGGATATAGTGAATGCGCGTGGGTCGTGAGGCAGAAGAGTCGGAAGGAGATGCGATGCGATGCGATGCGATGGGGCGAGTAGACGGACAGGTTGATGGGCGCAGGCGAGTGTATGCGGGCAAGTGTGTGCGGGCAAGTATATGCAGGCCAGTGAGAGCGGCGAAGTGTTGACAAGCGTAGGGAACGAGGGAGAGCAGGCATTCAGGCGACAGGTGGCGGGCTGGCAATTGAGATTGAGATCGAGATCTGAACAACTCCGCGTCCCCTGCGTCGTGCCGTCACAAAGTCCTTGTCCCGCACGAACAACATCCTCAAGCAAAATTCGCATCTGGTAGGCTAATCTCTTTTCTCATGTACTCATCTCTTACCCGTACCTGTCATACAAGCCATGCCACCCCGGAACCGCCCTCGACCCCGGAACCGCCCTCGGAACTACCCTGGACCCGCTGATGATGAGGTCCAATACCTCGGGTTCCAGCGCGTCGACGTCGAGAAGAGTGAGGTCCACCGGACGAAGCTCGAGGAGGATGGTTTAGTTTACTGCGGGTACCTCAACACGGAGGATTATTCAAGGCGTCCTCTGCCACCACATGTCCGCCAAACGCAGGGACCGGTCGTGATCGATCTGGTCTCTTCGGATGACGAAGACGACTCGGAGCTCACCCTGAGTGTGGCCAGGCGGGCTACTGACGTGTCGACTGCTGCGTCGACTGCTGCGTCGACTGCTGCGTCGAGCTCGTCTTCGTCGGGCGCCCGGAGCACTAGATCCAGCGCGCGGTTGGCCAACAAAGTGAGTGCGTTGCTTGTGGATCTTGGACATCACATTCTGAGCGATCATCACCCTCTGCCAGATAGCTCACAAACCAACTTCTCCGTCTTCACGCGGCAAACACTCTGCTCCTAGAACGTCAAAGGTCCCCACCGTGAAGAAACGGCAACACGAAGTCAAAACGGGCCGGGAGACCAGGCGACAGCGAGTGCGCAAGCGGCGTGTTGAACGATCGACCTCGCCGTCGAACACTGCAGAATGAGGCATTACTTACGGATGGTTGTTACGAATAGTCCAGTGTGCTCGCGAATAGATCTATGCTTCATAACTGTGACCTACAACAGCGTGATGACTGAGATGATAATACAACGATACGACAGACGATAATACGACAGACGATATACCTGAATAGAGAAACACGTACATGCCGTGACGGAGGCACGTCGACGACGCCGCGCCAGAGGCATGTCAACCTCTACCTAACCTCGCTCACGCCTGCTCTCAATCCCCCCTGTTAGCCTGGTACCGAGTGATCCGAGTGGATCGTCCGATGGACGGACTGCCCAGTACCTCCTGGTACTCGTCGGCACTGTTGTCGTCGTCCTTGACGACCTTGTCCAGCCACACCTCCTCAGAGGATGTCGGGCTCACTTGGAGTACCTTCGGAGCAGGCACAGGCGACGGCGGCGGCGTGACCAGGCGACGCTGCTTCTTATAATCTGCGACTCGAGCCTTGTCCGCGGCGGTTGCCTCGACCTCAGAACTGGAAGCGGACTCGTCGTCAGAGTCGGAAGGGTGCACCCGCTTGATCGACGTGGCGATGCCTCGCAGGTCTTTCAGGTGCGAGTTCAGCGCCTCCGTCCGCCGTTGTTCGGGAGTCCTTGTGTCGAGCTCAACGGTCTTTCGGTACGCTAGACGTCGGAAGGTATCCCGGGCTTTGATGCGAGCGGCTCTCTTGATCCCTTGAATGAGTGCTGGTATGGGGTTGACGATAGGAGGCTGTGTCAAGTCGGGATTGCCTTGGACGTCCAGGCGCTTCACGACTTCGCTTGCGTGCTTGCGATTACCGCTCAGCACGGCTTCCCGTACCCAGGCATCACTGCGCTGGTCGTATGCCGTAGCCCTGGCCATGCGGATGCCCTCCATCCAGCGATCGACCACCGCGTACATCGCCTGCCGCACATCGTCGTCCTCGAGGAGCAGCTCAACGTCAGAGTTGTTGTCGGACACTGTCTCGTTGTCGGACACTGTCTCGTTGTCGGGGATCGTCTCCACCTGGCTACCTTCCTCTTCCTCCTCCACGTCCTCGTCCTCCTCCTCATCATCGCTGTCTTCGGTCTTGATCATTTCCACCTCCTTCTCCACGGGCAGCAAGTTCCTACCCTCGTAGTCATGTAAGACAGGCTGGATCGATGGACTAGAATTAGCATGATCTAGGATAGCAATGATTAAGGATGTGACTTACCGTCCCCAAAAGTTTAAGGACCCACGACCGCCAATCATCGCACCCTTCCATGTTCTCGTGTGTTTCACGCACAGCGTCAAGGTCGGAGGGGACGAAGGCCAATAGCGTAGCTTTGATGCGCCCGATGAGGACCTGGTCGTCACGCTTAAAGCCCGTGCAGAGAACGTCGTTCGCTTCGCCACCTCCCGGGACAAAACCGTCCGCATCGGGTCGAGGCACTTCTGGATCGATGTAAGGGAACTCGTGCAACTTCACGCCGATGAAAAGCACAGGGCCTTCAAAGACCATGGCCTTTCCTAACTATGATACGTCAGTATCATGGCGGTTCTGAGCACTCGGAAATATCACTCACCTTCTCTGTCAGCAGGTCTACGCGCTGCTTAGCCCCTGTCTGGATGACGATCACATCGTCCTGCTTATCGACTTCTTCAAGTATATCGCTCCCAGGGGGCTTGACGGTATTGAAGTACTGGACGGCAACCATTCCGTCTGGTGTTTGCCGCGATGTTTCGTCCTTCAGGGGTCGATTTCGGTCGATCAGTAAACTCTGGTGTTTGTCGACGGCGATGTGGGCGTCTTCTGCAGCACCCAGCATGGCGGCGTTGACGATTTCGTGGAGGGCGAGGGGCGCCATGACGGTGAGAATGCGTCTATCAGGATCGTAATGGAATCTGGAAGAATTAATCAGGCACAAATTCAAGGAATACTACGTGTGTGCTCACGAGAAGAATTCGAGGATTTCCGAATTGTGGTCGATGTAGGCGCAAGCCTCTTTCCAGACGCCTTCGCTTATGTCGTTCCTAGTCTGTAATTCACGATAACTGTCAGGATAGGTTCATAAGAATTGAATGAAGTGAAGTTGGCTTACTGTCTGCTGATCAAAGAGGAAGGGGAAATCGTCTTCCTGCAGCAAGTCGCCGAACACCTGGTCGGCAAGGTGCCAGGAACGGATGGCGTGGGCAAGGTAGTGGTCGTAGTTGGCTGATCTCTTAGAGGGGATGTTGTCCTTCGTGTGGCGCCGGGGGTCGAGAGGTGGTGAAGAAAACGTGTGTCCGAGGGAGGACAACGGTGAAGAGGATAGCACGGCTAATTCATGGCACAGTTAGTTACTTCGCTGTGTCTGACGAAGACAGCCCGTTGACATACCTGTGTCTCCCCCAGAGGATCTATCGGAGCGGTCTTCGTCGTTGTGGTCGAGCTCAAGGTTTGCCTTGAGCTCAGTCGAGTCGACGTAGCGAAATCCGTAGTGGAGGGGATGTCCCAAATCGTCGTCTTGAGTGGGGGACACGATGCGAGGGTTGTGCAGGCCGTGGTAGTGAGAGGAGGCCATGAGGTTGGGAACTGGAGATTAGAGGAAAACGATGAGATAGAACCCTCATACGTGAAAGGAAGAAGTTAGGGACACACCGGTACATGTTGTATCCAGTGACCTCCTCCGGCAGCGCATCCGTGCCCTCGAACTCTCCCTCATGCTTCGACTCTTCTATGAAGTCCCTAGCCCGGAACTCAACTTCAAGGTTAGCCAACGTTATCTTAAGGCACCAGGCACTCACGTCTGGCATTGCACGCAGGACCTCACATCTAGCGTCGCACCTGGGACCCCTGAACCCCGCTGGCCACGGCGGCCGACGCCGAGCGGCTGGTGTGCAATAGTTGCCTCATTTGGACGGCCGCAATGCCCTTGCGGCCGTCCAAATGAGGCACACCATCAAAACATACGCTCCGCGCCACGCCCTGCGTCGAGGCGTAATCGACTTACGCCGTGCGGTGGGTCGGTTACACCATGCGGTCGTGTCGCTGCGCAAAGGTACATACAGTACAACAGGCGTGAGTTACTGTGGGCTCAGGGGAAATAACATCGCACTCACTAGCTTTCTGCATCCAGAGAGTGTTGTGCGATTTGAGCGGACGGCGTTACAGTTAACGTTACGTCCACTTCTCACTGAAGGAGAAACAAATAGAGGTCACGTACTGAAAACATACCGAATACATGTGTGAGTGTTCAAGTCAACATGCGTGAGGGAGTGAGGGAATGAACGAAGCGAACGGATGTGCGACTGAAGCGAACTGACGTGCGACGTAAGCGCTGCAGAGCTCCCAGGACGTAATCAAGTCCATAACGATCTTGGGCGGCTGGCACCTCACCGGAATTAGCCTCCAGGGTCGCTTGCTCACTTTTTACTCTGTCTCTCCAACTTTCTGGAACAACACAACGTTGCTGGACATAACTGGTGAGTCTCAGAATAATCTCTCTGGATGTCGAATACTCACCAAGGGTTGAAGATCATGTCCAAGAAACGGGGCCACTTGGAGGCCTTGCTGGCGCAGACATGTGCCGCTTGCGACGAGACTTTCGATACCATGCAGGGACTGATGGCTCACCAGTCTACAAGCCGCAAATGCGCATGGTATAAAAAGGGCAAATTAAAAGCCGTATTCATGTTGGATGCTGATGCTGAGGAATCCGGTTCGCATTCAGAGGAAATGAGTCGCAGCAGTAGCTCTAGGTGAGAATTGAATCCACGTCCTCTACACTACCATAACTCATTCTATAAAGGCCCCAGCTACCTACCACACGTACGTTACAGGGCACTGCCTACAACAGAGGCGAAGGGTCTTCAAATTCAGAATCACATCCAGGGCGCGATGACAGTGAGAGTACGGCAGATGAAGACGATAGCTTAGGCTCGCAGACCGACCACGAATTAATGTTCGTCCCGTTGCCCATCCCTAGTGCGTCAGGCTGCGATGCTCCTGCGGAATCCTCGTCTTCGGGTGCCCGCGGTCGTCGGTCGGCTATACAACTAGACGACGACGAAGACACTAGAGTAGAGGAGGTCAACAAGACTGCTGGACGTGTGGTGGGAGAGGGACGGACTATGAGGGATGCATGGCGGAAGCATTTTGCAAAACAGGGCTCCGAAGATGCCGATGACGGAGACCCGACAGGTAAGTGGACTTGTAATTTGTTACAAGACAGACGTGACGGGCTCACCTAATATTATAGATGAAAGCTCTCTGTGGGAGCCGTTCGATTCAGAGACGGACTGGGAGATCGCCTCCTGGTGCGTCAAGGAGGGCATCAGCCAAGGGGCTGTTGACCGATTTCTGAACATACCTAACGTGAGTTTCCTGTGATTCAAAACAACTTTCAGCCTTCTGATTAAAGATATAGGTACGAGAGAAACTTGGCCTATCTTACCATAACATGCGCGCACTCCTGCAAAAGGTCGATTCAATACCCGAGAGAGCCGAGTGGATGGAGCAATGGATAACGTTCAAGGACCGACCGGGTGAGCAACATCTCATCCAGTTCCGCGACATCATAGCGGCGATCAGGGCGTTACTGGGAAACCCTGCTCACGCGGACCGCATCGTGTATCGCCCACGTCGGATCTTCTCGGACGCGAGTCGCAAGAACCGCATCTACACAGAGATGTGGACAGGAAAATGGTGGAATGCCGTACAGGTAGGTTTTTCATTTCATTTCATTGATATTGCTAGACATGTACTCATTGCTATGCTACCTCAGAGCCTACTACCGGAGGGAGCCGCTCTGGCCCCCGTCATTATTTCGACGGACAAGACGCAACTTACACAATTTTCTGGGAACAAGTCCGCGTACCCCGTCTACATGACGCTTGGCAACATCCCGAAGGCTCTGCGTCGCAAGCCTTCAGAGCATGCGTGCATCCTAATAGGATACCTCTCCGTTGACAAGGTCGACTCTACCGGCCTCAGTGATCGCAAACATCGCGCGCTTGTTCAGCAATTGTTCCATGCCTCCGTCAAAATCATCTTGGAGCCACTCATCCGGGCTGGAAAGGAGGGCATCAACGTGACAGGAGGAGACGGGAAAATTCGGCGCGTTCACCCTGTGCTCGCGTCCTACGTCGCTGACTACCCCGAGCAGTGCTTGGTGACGTGCACCAAGTACGGCACCTGCAGTGTCTGCCAGTGCTCAGAGGCAGCTCTCGGAGACGATACCTCGAAGACGCCACGCCGACAGATCTGGACGTTGGATGTCCTGCAGAAGGCCAAAACTCGTGGCAAGAAGGGCACGGCGGCATTCTACAACGCTTGCAAGGAATACAACGTATCAGGATACGTTGTCGAACCGTTCTGGAAGGACCTACCCTACACCGACATCCACCACTGCATCACACCCGATATCCTCCACCAACTCTACCAAGGAGTTTTCAAGCACATTCTAGAGTGGTGCAGCGAACTTATGGACGAATCCGAACTCGACCAACGAATTCGCTGCTTACCGCCTGCATACGGCACACGCCATTTCAAGAATGGGATTTCCTCCCTGTCTCAGGTATCTGGCGGTGAACGCAAGGATATCGCTCGAATCCTGCTGGGATGTCTCGTCGGACGCCTACCTCACGCCGTCATCACCACGTTCCGTGCTCTTCTCGACTTCATATACATCGCTCAGTACTCGACGCACGACGACACGACGCTCACCTATTTGGAGGACGCGCTGAAGACTTACCACAAGAACAAGGAGATCCTGAAGACCCTTGGCATACGCGAACATCTAAATATACCTAAGTTCCACTCCCTCCACCACTACATCGATTCTATTCGCAACCTGGGCACTACCGACAATTATAATACTGAACTCTTTGAACGCCTGCACATCGACTGCGCGAAGAAGGCTTGGCGAGCGTCCAACCATCGCAACGAGCGCCCTCAAATGACCAAGTGGCTCGAACGTCAGGAGAAGGTAGCCATGTTTGAGACGCTTCGTCAGAGACTCCACGAGGAGCGCATTGCATCAAACGAATCTCCTGGCGTTCCAGCAGTTCCAGGAGCACAGTCACACCGTCCTCAAGCCAGCCTATCTTTGCCAAAACATCCTTCCGTCTCGCAACAGTCCATCTCGTCCATTGCGGACAAGCATCAAGCACCGGGCTTCGCAAAAGCCCTCAATCAACACATATATTTCATGAAGCTAGGTCGCCCCCTTACAGCCGCTGAGGCGGAGAAAGCGAGCTCATACCTCCCTTTCTCCCGCCTCGACGTCTTCCACGGTGTCAAGTTCACCACTGTTCCCCTCACCGACGACAACCCAGATCGCGACGCAGTCAAGGCGAAGCCGTCTTGCGGAACAGAACCCGCACGGTTCGATACGGTCGTGGTCTTGCGAGACGACAATGCTGAGGCAACTGGTCTCCAAGGTGAGTAGGTCAACACATCTCATTTCTACTGTCTAAACAAACTTTCACCAGGAACTCGCATAGGGCGAGTCAAAACGATCTTCAAGCTACCAGAGAAGATCTACCAACACGGTGCTGTCTCAGAGATGCCAGCCCCAGAGGAATGGGCACAGCAAGGCCCCCTGGCCTACGTTGAATGGTATGCCAAACTCCCTGCCGCTGCCGACCCCGTACACATGATGTACGATGTCCGAAAGATGCCCCTTAGGGCGGACGGCACGCCGCCTGGAGACGTAGTACCTTTACGAATGATCCGCCAGTCCTGTCAATTAGTTCCCCATTTCCCAAACCCCACTCGTACGAACTCACGTCCCAACGTTCCGAATGACTGGACCACTGACAACGTACTGGACAAAGCACATAGGTTTTTGTTGAACAACTGGGCCAGTAAATACGCTTATCAAACTCTATGGTAGCAACCCTACGTATGACCACATTGACCTTGGCACTGTAATATTAAACCCTACCTGCGCAGTACCCACCACAACAGTTGCCCTTCGTCTGAAGAATATCCTGATCCAGTTCCAGTACGTTGTTGACTTGTCAATCTACATTACTCACTCACTTGCGCATGCAGTAGGCCGCCTTCGACATTCCCGCACCGGTCAACGTTCAAGCTGCTCCGTGCCTCCCGCACGAAGACAATACCTGAGAGGACACACTGTCCACCATACGAGGCCCGGGCAGACGACGTGGACAAGGCCCGTCGCCCAGTATCCGAGGGCGTCGTGAACCCAGTACGTCTATGCGCCACGTCCTTGCACATGGTTGCGATCTTTCACACCTCCTACAGCCAGCGTGCTCGAGCCTCGTATCGTCATCCACGCTGTAGAACCAGGGGTGGTTCCGTAATAGCGGACTCTGCTCGCCCTCGCCCGCCAGCGGTCCGAGCGGGAAATGATGCACACGGACAGCTGACATCCGAAGTACAGCAGGTTCGCCCAATTGCGCATGCCGATCGACCGGAGAGACGGCCACGATGTCCACGACTTGCAGGCTCTGCCTTGCAAGCACATATGCGCAGAGACGGAGAACACGCAGGACACTGGTGCGCATCGTACCATCTGCCTGTCAGCTTCATTGACTGACCTAGCCTGGCTTTACAGTGTTCTGGTACCTACGTGAACGGCCGGTGCTCGACACTGCTCCTCGGGATGCTAACGAGGTCCTTCGTGGCGAGCACATACCCTGCGCATCGGCATGACCGACGAAGACACCATATATCGTCTTCCGGCAAGCAAGCCTCGGGCCATGCGTTGTGGCGACCTCGAAGTGTGCGTATGTGTCCTGATATCAGTTCCACCGTCGTCACTCACCGGGTTCAATCTGGCAGGTGCGACAGTACCACGGGGCAGTTGGCATTCATCGTGCGTGGCGCGTCGAGCTTGCTGGTCAAGCCCATGCTCGCGTCGGTAAGCACCTTGTGCTTCAAGCAGGCAGGACCTCAACCTATCTCATCTGCGCGCAGGCCCGGGTCCCAATATGCACACCGCACAACCGCACTATGTGTGGCTGCTATGCACCCTCCGAGCGCAGCATCCTATCGCCGTCGCCGGATGATCGAGTACAGTACACAACGTATCGTCTTCTGGCGAACTGGCGCACCCGTTCACGCTGTGTCAACGCGCACGCTGCTGAGCCCTCTCGGTGCGCTACTCCGCCGTGCACAGCTGGTCCACGTCGTGCCCACCGTCATCTTCAAGTTTGACCTCGGCCGGATGATCGATGTCCGGCAAACTGACCGTGGAGCACCCCTGTCCGCGCTGTGTTGATGCGCACACTAGTGCTTCTTTGTGGGTCCCTCCCGGAAGGCTACCGCACCATGTCACGCCTGCCATCATCGCCACCATCCGTCCATACAATCTAATATGCAACATATTGACGCCCAGTGAAGACGGACAAGTACGCTGTTTTGAACGAACTGCATGTGATGTCCTGTGGTCGCTGTTCAACGAAGACGCGACGTACGGAGTTCCGACTTGTGGGTATGCGAGGCGCGACGAAGCACGTCGGTCGTGGCAAAGACATGACAGATGGCGTTTTGGCGAGTGTCGTGTCTACGATGGGGTACCCGTTGATAACGCGGCAGACGGTCTAGGTCCTCTGGATGCACGCGCGCACAGCTGCCACAATCAACACCGGGTGGACAGGCCATTGGCTTGGACAACAGTTCTCTGGAGCTGCAAGCGAAGCCTCCGAGTCGTCCAGGATCACCGTCTGTTACGCAAGTTCGTATTCCGCGCAGGATTCCAGTGTCCCTCACCACCTTCGTGTCAACTTTCAGCGTAGTGTACAGAACACGGTGCAGATCTTCCATATCGACCGACGCAAACTAAGCGACCTCGACCCAGCTTACGTTATCGACTCCGTGTGCGAGCTGGCGGAGCGGCTGGTTGTCATTCGTGGCGACAGTCGTATAGTATCGCAGGAGACCCAGAACAATGCAACACTCCTGTTCCGCACCGGGTCCCACTGGCTCCTTTGTGCTACGTTCGCTGCATGGGGAGGCCCGGGCGAAGTTCAATCAAACCGTGGCGCAGCCAGGTGAGATGTGTGGTACGCAGTCTATCGGCGAACCAGCGACGCAGATGACACTGAACACGTTCCATCACGCAGGTGTATCCAGTGAGAATGTCACGCTCTGCGTGCCGCGGTTGAAGGAAATCATCAATGTTGCGACGAACATCAAGACGCCCTCACTGTCCGTGTTCCTCGCACCGCACATCGCACGTCTCTGTGCACTGTCACGGCAGTGGTAGAGATTTGGTATGATCCCGAGTGCGTGGACCAACTTCGCCTACATACTCGCCGACGTCAGCAGCGCTGAATCTCACATTGCCAGGATACTCGCCCACGAGTCCTCGGTACTCACCTACTTCCCCATCATTATCCCCGACATCACCTCGTTACAGCCCGCAGTCCCCGTCATTCAGCCCAACGTCACCACAGTACTCAGCCAAGAGTCCATCCTAGTCGTTCAACCTGGCTTCTGACGTCTGCAACTCTCCGACGTGTAGGTTTAAATGACTTGTACCCTTGGATTCTGTGACTGACATGATGTACGCTCCTGCCCAGATGTCTCCCTTCGTTGCCGAAGTATTCACCGGCCTCACCAGCATCAACCGCATCTCCCAAGTACTGTGAGTAGCCGTGCACCATATTGTGACTTGTGGTGCTGTTGTTGACGCTCCCTTTAGCACCGACATCACTGACCTACTCTCCAGCGCGTACCCCTTAAATGTAGACGTATCTTGATGCCTTACCAACCTGCCAGTGCGTGATCTCAATCCTCATAGACCCGCTTATTACAGTGAGTCTAATACGGGTGCATGGCATTGGGGTCACTGATAGCTTGTTACAGCTCCTGCATGATCCACCATTTACAGTCCAAAATGGCCGCAACCTTTCCTACACCATGACCGCATTCGAGAATGTCTCGTACACAAGCGACTCCCCCAGTGCCGTCGCAGAACGCTGCGAGAGCGTTGGCGGATTTGGCAGCAGGCAGAATGAACACTCAGTTGTTCAATGCGGCGACCAGGCGCAGGCTGTTCGTCAGGCTCCGTGAATCGTGCAAGTTGTGTCTGTGCACACCGTACCGGACTCATAAAATGCATCCAGATGGCCTTGCCAGTTCCAATTTGTGTTCTGGACACAGACCACCAACGTCCATAGAGAGCACACTGAGACTACTAGATAGAAGTACTACATTTACTATGATAGATACTTTGAAAGTAGTACGCCTGAAAATGCATACTTAAGAACTCATGATTGAGTCAATGTAAGACCTCCGAGAATAAAGAAAATCCCCTAGCCAAAATTTGCTTGCAGGTAACACAATATCTTCTTGAAGGGATGCTTAGTCAAGGAAACTGCATCTTATGCAAGCACGGCTATTTTGACAAAGCCTTACAGGTCCTGAAACACTTAACCAAGTTGTCCAAGCATTTATGTGTTGCCATGTGGCTTGACAAGCAAACCTGGTTTTTCCTGATGTACATATGATCCAAGGGCCCATTGACACCCCATACCTCCTCAGCATCCTCCTCAGCATCCTTCGACGGATCTTCTGTTGTCACGGCGAGAATGTCAGTGTCCTTGACCATGCCGAGAGGACTCCAGTTATTGAGGCACATCAATGCGCGGATCGAGGCGGCCGACAAGCCATTTCGCAGGTGTGTTACAATAATCCGGCCCTGGCTGAACAGGCGCTCAACGCCGACCGATGTAGCTGTATCAATCAGCATTCGAAGAAGACGAGGGATGAGGAATACTTACGAGGAATGGTTAGATAGCAACACGCCATGCGAGACAACGTTGGATACGTCTTGTGCGCGTCGTTCGATGTCCACCACTCCAGCACATTGTCGATGCTCCGATCAGGCTCAGCAGCGAGGTAGTGTTCGAACTCATCTGTCACCGGTGCAGCCGCCTGCTTACGCTTCGCACGAGCAGCATCGAACATGTTGACCTTGCGGCCCTTGCCCTTTGGAGCACCCACGCCATCGTCCGAGTCTTGGGCCTGAGCACCAGACGTAGATGTCTGACACTCGAGATGATCAGCTGGGTAAAAAATGAGAGGACACAATCAATAGGCGTACCGATGGCTCAGCGTCGGCACCCTTCTTCGTCGCGCGGGCTTTGCGGGGAGGCCGGCCTTTCCAATCCCCTTCGTATGCTTCCTTTGCAGCGAGACGTGCGTCGCTGACCCAGCTGGCGAGCCACCCATGCTCGGTGAAGTATTGGAGCTTATAACGGGGGTTGAGAACTGATCATAGTTTGATCAGTGACAGTCCGTGTACTACCTGACACCGAGGTACGTACTCATTGCGATGCGGTATGCCGCCGACTCATCGGTCTTGTCGTAGTAATGATTGATGGTTCGTTTGGCACACCCGACGGCGACGCGAATGGCTGGATCGAGCGTCGTGTCCGTGGTGTCCGTCGCAAGTTGCTCGTCAATCTCATCCATGGATGGGATGACATCCGTGAGAGTCGGGGCCTCCTCGCCTTCACGCGAGAAAAATTCGGTCGCGTCGGCAAAGACCTGCCGCGGTGCGCGCGTGTTTGAATAGGGGAAAGCACGAAGAGACCGAGGCGTCGAGGAGCCGAAGGAAGAGTCCATGAGGCGAGTACAACACGTAGTGACGTTCCCCGGGCCGTGGGCGAACCCGCCGCAAGGTTGACGCAGGCCGCAGGCAAGTGAGCAAGCAGAGATGAGCGGTTGTGGGTACGCGGCAAGGCGGGCGCGGGCGTGACCAGGGCAGAGGGCAGTGCACGTATTAGGCATTGTGGTACGAAACGAGTAAGTAACAGTGTGGACCCACAAAGTGACCAAAGTGACTCACCCGAAGGACGTCACAGAGTTGCTGTGCAATCGTCCACTCTCGCTCATTCAGCTCCCACTGGCGCAGGTTATTCGCCTGCGCCTCAGTCATCCGTTCGATGGCACGCCGGTACTGGAGTGCTACATCCAGCATACGGAACGTCGAGTTCCACCTGGTACGTACATCCCGCGGCAGCTTGTTCACTTTCAGTTTGACGGCCTCGACTGCTCTCTCCCAGGCTGGCAAGAGCAGCGTCGGCGAGTGGTGTATCAACATGGAAATCTTTCGTAGCTGTGGGCACGACACGGTGAGTGGTCTGACTACATAAAGAGTTCGAAAACTGACCTTTAGCAGCATCATCTTGACCGGGCGGACCTGCGCCTCGTTGCTGGCCCTGCCGGCCTCGTCGATCTCTTCGTTTGCATCCCACAGGCCATCCACGTCGTCAGCATGGGGGTCCGCAGGGTCTTCGTCGAAATCCAAGTCCTCCATCAGCTTCTGCAACTCCTGATCCCACTCGGTCAGCGATTGATCATCGACATCGTCCTCATTAAGGTCAGTGTCGTCTACATCCCCTTTCTTCTTGCGTTTCGGTTTGGGTGGCTCGAACTGACGGAGCAGTGCCTTTGCTACTAGGTTGACAATATGGCAAAAACATCGCGAGCGCGAGCGGCGCCCAGGGAAGCCCTTGAGCATCAGCTCGAGCTCGTCGATCATGACGTCGTTCGAGGAGGCGTTGTCGCAGGTCACACCGAGCACCTGTGTAACAAGGTAAGTATGTATGTTGCAGTCTCAAACCTCGTCTCACTGACCTTCGTCTCGAGGCCCAGATCTTCCAGCATCTTCGCAAACACATCGGCCAGATTCAAGCCACTGTGGGACACCGGCACCTCAAGAACATCAAGGACAAGGCGTATTGGTTCGCCGTCACGTTCGAAGTGGACGGTGAAGGCGACCATGGCCTTTTGGTTGGGCGAAGTCCATGCGTCGGTAGCGAAGTTCAAATCGCCGTCGTATTCCTGTGGGTCGCATTGGTGAGTCCTCAATCTGTCCTTCGAGTCTCGCGTCAGATCACATGACAGTCAATATGCACCTTCAACATCTTTGCGACGCGTTTGCGCGTACGTTCGAAGATCTTCCGTACATCGCGCCCGACCGTAGTCGGCGATGGTATCTTGTACTCCGGACGCCCTGTCTTCATCAAGCTGTTGAATCCTCGATCCTTCACGATGTTGAATGGGCGCATGCTCTCCGACACCCAGCGAACGATCTCGGCCCTTGAACTGTGTCAAACATATGTATCCCAGGTAAGTTCGTGATCATACCGAGTCTCCGAAGCAGTATGCTGACGTGTCGAAAAGGTTACTGTCTTCTTCCCGACATTCCCAAATGCGACCTTGATATCTTGGGTTCTTCGGTAAGTTTGTATTTTGTCTTTGGCCTTCGCAGCTGACCCGATTGCGTCCGCGGCTTGTAGTGCCTCAGGGCTCCAGCAGGCCTTCACATGCTTCCTCATGTTCGATGTCGACGACACGTCCTTCGTCCCGAGTGACCGCCAAATGACCTGCTTGCAGCCTGTGTTCGCACACTGGAAGCTGTGCACGCGCCGGCCGCCGTTGCGGTGCTCGATCAGGACATCTGGCTTGAAGAAAGCGTACACGGATGCTGTCCATTTCCTTTGCATGCGTTCTACGATGACAGGTGAGTTCGTCATTGGGATTGTTGCATTAGTATCACTCACTAAGCTCATTCTCGGCGTTCTCTTCGGCAGCATCATCCTCCACACCATCCTCACCACTACTCCCCTTGTCTTCCTCATCCAGGTCGGACGTCGAGTGCATGGTTATCACTTCATCCTCGTCGACAACATCCTCGACAGTTACAGACCCATTCCGTGTCGACCTCTTCGATGTCTTGCTGGTGCTCGTGTTCTGCCTATGCCTTGTGGATGCGGCCCCTGGTTCCCCTGTCGTTGTCGTGGTACCAGAGCTCGCTGAGGTGGATGGATGGCCTGAAGCTGGCTCGGGCCCCCGTGCTGTTGGGCGGCTCACTTTTTTCTTAGGAGGCTTGGTTGTCTTGGGTAGGCTTGTCTCTGAACCCGAGTCGGGACTCTGAGTGCGCGCGCGTTTCATATACATCGCGCGGCGTGTGGGCGAGGCCGCCTTTCGCTTTGGGTGCTTCCCGGACATTGAGGGCAGTCTCGGGGGAGGGGGAGACTTGTTGATTGATGGTAGGGTGGGCTGGTAACTAGTACTGCGCCGTGTGCTTATGCAATCTCGAAAATATGAATATCCTATCATCCGGTTCCTGAAGCTCCATTTCTGGTGGCTGTGTCAGCCACCAGATTCAGATCTGAGTGGGTGGTGAGTGCCCGAAGGCGCCGCGCACCCATTTCCTATTACGGGTACCGGCGGGTATGCGGGTCGAGATCTCGGTACCCATACCCCTACCCGAGAGTACCCGTACCCGCGACCCTCGCGGGTTACCCGAACCCCTGCAATGCACTACTCGTGGCAGCCGCGGCTGAGAGGAGCTGCACGCAGCAGCCCTCCGCACAGAGAGGCTCGGCGCAGCGGAGTTCAAAGTATATGCTCATGGATTGCTCACGCCGAGACACTGTCTCATGTATGATCGTTTGTGAGACACAATCTCACAGCTGATCCTCTGTAACGTGGCTACGTTACATTCACGTAGTTACTAATTTAGGACATATCATGTATCCACGATCACGTGCGTAGGCGCCAGCGAGTGTGGGAGTTCCAGCTCCTTTACACTCGTCACCAATACCGCACCACTCTGGAATAGAGACTGGGTGCAGCATATCACGGCGTGAGTAAGGGGGCGTTACACTTTTTTACGCTCCTTCGAAAACTCGAACTTCTACACAGAAGTGCGTGCGGTCGAATACGACGTTGAGAACGTCGAGCGTGATCTATCATAACAAAACATCACTCCATCACAGAGTACGACCGAACAGGCAGGCCGCTACCACAAAGAGATAGCCGTGGCCGCTTTCAAAAGAAAGCATCTTCGATGACGACCAACACGTCGTCACCAACTGCCCCGAAAGGCAACCCAAGTGATGAGGCCTCGACCAGTAAGGTCGAGGCCCCAGCGCAACCACATGGGACCTCGTCGTCTCCTTCCATCAAGAAGGAGCGTGAGGACCTAGGGCCCGAAGAAGGGGTATCGAGCAGGAGGGCTCAGTCATCTCGACGAGCGACTTCTACTGATACGACCAACACACAGGATGCGCCTGCGAAGGAGCATCCTGCTGGCTTGAGGACAGAACCGCACAAACCTCGATCCCGAGCTTCCAGTGCAACCAATTCTTGAACAGGATCCCGTACGGGATCCCGTAAGGCGGCAAAAGCCTTGAGCGTACTTGACGACTTCAAGATATCGCTGGGCCGGCTCCGCGAGGAGTCTCGCCAGAATGCGGCCAACCTTGACGCGAAGTTGGCTGCAGTATTGGAAGAGACAAATCAGAAAATGACAACTGTCCGCCAGGCAGCTGAGATGTCCGATACTGACACAGTAAGTGACATGGAATCGATACAGACGTCAGGGGTAGGGACGCAGTACCCCAACCTGAGGACCAGGAGGACCCGGTTCTCAAGGCAGCTGCTGACGCGACCGAAAAGAACACAAAAGCCACACAAAAACCCAACCGTGAGGTCGAGCAGTGGTATGCGAGGCCTCTGCGTCTATGAGATGTACGAGGGGCTGTACAGTGGTCTAAGTAAGAAGGAGGAGGACGGACAAGACTCCGAACGACGTGGGAGAGCTTCGAAGATGTCGAAGACTGTTCGAAGACGAGGGCTAAGCCTCGAAGGTAGGAGGGAGGGTTTCGACAGACGTGTCGAACGAACGGTGACAAGGAAGGCGAGCGACGGCAGGAGAAGAAGTGTAGAGCCTCTCGGGGCAACTACGAGCTGGCGAACGTACTGGCGAACTGACTGACTGGCTTCGAACGTACTGACTGACTGGCGAACTTGCTGACTTCCGAACGTACTGACTGGCTGACGAACCTCCCGGTGCGAGGTGAGATTGAGAGGGTAAGGGGGTCTCTGAGATTCGAAGGGAACAAGTCCCAGAGTATATACAGGAAAATACGGTCCGAAGACCAAGAGAGCCAAGAGAAATAAGAAATGATGAATGAAAGTGATAAGGAAAGCAGCCAATCGGAGAATGTCACAACGCTCGACCCGGACCTACTAACACATGAGAGAATCCAACTCGGCCTTCCGCAGGTTCCGCATAACGGGCGACCGTCCCCGAACGGCGAAGGTCATAACCGGAGCCGGTGACAGTCCTCGAAGATATGAGACAGCTGCAGGAGTTCGCCTGACCTACACGAACATGCCGCACCTCGACCCAACTTCCGAGGCGTACGCTGCCCGCTACTACCGCCTCCTAGAGGTCCTCAAGACCGAGGGACTTGTCGAGCCGCGATACGATGCCAACAGCCCCGGAGAGTGGCTGGCTTGGGCCCACGGAGTCCATTGGATGATCGTACGTGCCTCCGAACTTAGACTATCGTTCGAACCATCGAACCGACCTTCGAACAGCGATTCTTGTTCGAGTCCCGCAGCCGGGCCATCCTGCTAGCAAACGATACGCTTCCCGCTCCTAGGTCGTTTCCCGAGATCAACGAGTTGATGCGTTACCTCGACGAGGTCTTTCACCGCGATGGCAACCAGGGGACATCCTAGGTTCGCCCTACCCTACGATCGCGTGGTCCGAGACCTTGGTACTGCTCGAACAAGTCAACCAGGCCGAGTGTCGTCCTCTCGCGAACCCGCAGTATCAGCGCGAGACGTTGATCCTGTCCGACTTCCGCCAGCTGCCCGACAACCTCGAGTCCATGGGTCGAGCGATTCACAACATCGCAGTCGACCAGCGCCGCACGCACGACACCCTCGTCGGGTTGCTCAAAAGCCTGCTCGAGCGCGTCAACACTGACCGTAGCTTCGACGCCGGTCCGTCTGTTCGTAGGGGTAGGGGTGGTGGTCATGGGTGTGGAGGTCGAGGCCATAGATACGAGAGTTGCCGAGGCCGTCACTAGTTAGTTTGACCTAGCCGTGTAC